CATCTCCACGACTGAAAGGTTTGTTTGAAGTTAAGCACAAAGATACACAAAGGGCTATCTGTGCTCTGCTGTAACGCATTTATTGTTATGTATTTATTTTTAATAAATATGAACGTTGTTTAGACTAAATTTGTATTTAAAAATATGCATAACTTATAGGGTCAGATATGTATTGCGTGTAACGAATTTGTTATATATTTATTTTAATTACAACGTATGTTGGGATTGGATTTATATCTAAGAACGTGCCTAGCTTACAGTGTTAGTTACGTACGGCGAAACTCCCGCCAATTCTCCAAGGTTGTAGAATATTCGTGAACGCAAGAATCGACAATATATCCACTTCCGTAACCGGTTAAATATAGTTCAGTATTGTTGTCCAAACTTTCGAGAAAAAACATTTCCCGCACATATAAAAAGACCAAGGCTAAAGAAGAGAGATTATAAGTCTGCTAGGAACCTGTTATAACCGTGTACGCTATATACCGCGATTTTGCTAACCCTTATCAACCGGAAAATATACGACATTTAACCAGGAACAGTTATAAGTATCAAACGTCAGTGGATTCTCATCGGACGTTAGTATTGTTGCGACAGCGGAAGTCACGCGACGCTGGGAACATGTGCGCTGGAGTTTCTCGAAGGATCGTGAAGGCCCGAGTGCATTCGAGACACTCTCTTTTTAATACATAAGCCTGGCGAGAAAAACCAGCGTGATCGGCAGATAGATTGAAGAGATAGATAATTGAGTCAAGCGAACAGTAGGCACTGTAAGTAAAGTGTGTGAACCACTGTGATTTATAGCGTGTGTTATAAAGATTGTTAAGTTTAAAGTGACTGTCGAGATTCTATGTATTACTAAAAGTTGTATCGAGAAAGAATAATCTGGTTTAATCAAGAAAGGACTTGTATCGCTGAAGTTCCTCGGAAATAATTTCTACCGGAAATTAACAAACAAGCGGATACGCAACAGTATCTTTCTGAAAGTATTACTGAATTCTCATCGGACATTAGTGGTTTTATGAAAATATTATCTTACTTCAATGGTCTAACAATTCAATGTCTGACAAAGCTAGCTAGCTTTTCGGCAATTGTACGTACACCGACTTCAAGTTAACTCGCTGGATATCAAGGAGACTCTGAACTAGAAAGAAGATTCTATTTTGTTTGTAAGTTAGTGAAATGGTTGTTTATAAAACAGTTTATATATATTAAAACGTATTTGTGTGAAAAACGAAAAAAGTGTGTGTCAATCTTGTTGGCAAATAGCGTAAAGTAACTAAAATATCGGCTTTGGACTATCTCAAATTCGCAACACGCAACATCTGCCCACCACGGGTATTGAAACCCGGTTTCTAGCGTTTTAAATCTGCAGACATACCGCTGTGCCACTGGGGGCCGACTGAAAGGGGAGTATGTTTGGATGGGGCGGGGATTCGAACCCACGACCCTCAGATTGTGAGTCGAACGCCCTAACTACGTGGCCATACCAGGCCAATATGTCAACGAAAGTCTTCGGTATCTCAGCAGTAAGTCTGAAGGGTTATAACGCTAAAACCAGGGTTCGATATCCGAGTTGGACAATGCGCAGATAGCCTATTATGTAGGTATTTGCTTAAAAACACATAAATAAAATGAACAAAATACTCTTTGGAAAATAAATTTTTCAAATTTAATGGTTTCAAACATTGTTATCTGAGATATTTTTATTAAGACATTCATTATTCCTACTTTCTATTATTTTTTCGTTTTTTAAGTAAAATATATCTATGATATGATAATTTGAAATACCCAAAGTTTATATTTGTATCCCCATGTCATTTTTTTCTAGTTGCACTCCTGTTCTTTAGTAACTAATGCCATGTTTCTTCTACTGGAGCAAATTACAGAACAAAACAAGTATTAAAATGGACCGACGCAGCCCAATGGTTAGCATGCACAACTCTGGATCTGAAGTTTCATTGTTCGTATCCCGTTATCGCCAATTAAAAAATCTCGCTCCCCACTTTGGGACCGTGGGTGCGTTATAAGAGAGACAGTTCAAAACTCATTATTCAATCTGTCAGGAGTATCCCGGGAGTTGGCGGTGGGTGATGTTGACTCGCTGCTTTCCTTCTAGCCTATCTCTTCAAAATCACGGGCGACTAAAGCAGATAGCCTTCAACAAAACAACAAGCATTAAAGGAAATAAAGTAAAGGAAACTAATAATGTAATAATGCAGTGTTTTTTTGTGTGTGTGGTTAACGCTCAAGCAAGAAAGTACAAACAATAAAAGCATATCTAAACAAAGAACAAAACATAGCACGTATCGTAATCATAAGACCTCACTAACCTCTTGGCCTGGCATGGCCAGGTGGCTAAGGCACTCGACTCGCAATCTGAGGGTCGCGGGTTCGAATCCCTGTCACACCAAACATGCTCGCCCTTTCAGCCGTGGGGACGTTATAATGTGACGGTCAATCCCACTATTCGTTGGTAAAAGAGTAGCCCAAGAGTTGGCGGTGGGTGGTGATGACTAGCTGCCTTCCCTCTAGTCTTACACTGCTAAATTAGGGACGGCTAGCGCAGATAGCCCTCGTGTAGCTTTGTGCGAAATTCAGAAACAAACAAACAAACAAACTAACCTCTTTCGTTCTCTTCAACCAATTTTGATTGAATTGACCTAGCGGCAGGAACGGCATATTCAGAAAATACGAAAAGTGCAGGGCCTATGGGTGTAAAACAAAGGTGAGATATCAGGATAGTTTGTTTCTATCTATAATACTAAAATTTAACTGGAATTCTTGAAAAATTCTGAATATTATAAAAAACTGGAAAGAAAAGTGATAATTTAAATATATTCACAGGCCTAATGTATTGTTACTGTATTTCCTCTCTATGATAGTTATCTGGAATGCCCCATAAATATAAGCTCAGAAAGAGTAAAGATAATTTATGGTTAAAATAAATAAATAAAAGAACAAGAAGAAATAGGAAATTGTCATTACACACTTGTTATCGAGTAAAAGCTTCTAGAAATGATGAGGAAGATATAGCAAACTGTTTGTGAATAAACCACACGACAGCAGCTGAAATCACAAACAGATATGTAAAATTTTGTCTGTTTCAGAAAATAAAAATCGACTTATTTAAATTTTACCCAATGGTATTTAGAATATTTTTTTTCTTTTGCAAAAAACTTTCGGAAAAAGCAAAAAAAAAAAGAAACAAATGTTTGCTTTTAAATAACTTATATGTATTGTTGTAAGGTGTTCTACCATTGGGCAGATTCTTTTTTGGATTATTTAGTAAAAATAATGCGAAGTCCAGTCTCCGCAATAATTATAAATTGATATATTTCTTCAATAACGTTTGCTACAGGCTACGTTCACTTTGATGCAAATTGTAGGCTTTAGCTCACAAACAAACTTTTCAACATAAACTTCGGAACTACTATAGGCCTAATACACTGATAACGTTTAACTGAAATTTATTCAGTTGTTAACACTCTTGAGTAACTTAATGACTAACTTCACTCGATCAACAACTACTCGATCTTTCACACACTGAATTTTCATTCACTATTCAATAACTTCTTGGTAAATACTTCGTTGACTTCTCATTCATTGATTATTCGTATTTATAAACAACGTACCCTTATCTAGGTATTAACTATGTTATTACATTTTAACCATCATCTTGAACTTTCTAGATACGTTAGGAGTTAAGTAAAAGTAAAACTATTGTGAATCGAACACTACCCATGTGATTGGTTGTTCTCATTTAACGTAGTTAAAGTTATAACCTCTAGATATTATCTACTCATCCAATGAAAAACATTACTGATATTGATCTGTTTTGTACAATGTGCAACATTACAACAATATGCCCACAGGCAGCGTTTTTGTTGTAGCTGTTAAACCTTGTTTTGATAATTAAATTTGTTTTCATCACAGGCTTGGTCTTGCTATTTTTAATGCAGTCATTCCCTTTTGGTTAATATGTAGTTAACTGTTGAAATAATGTAATGCAAAATATCCTTTAACTACAAATAAACATAACATACAAATATTTTTAAAATAAGGAGCATACATAAACTTTAACTCGACGATATATGACTCGAAATCAGAATCTGACATGGGCATTTAAGCATTGTGACTTGAAAACAATTGCGCATTATCTTATTTTCTTTTACACAATAAACACTATTTTTGGAAACTATCCAACAATAAAACAAAAATTTCCTTTCTTTCTGACGTTAACTAACTGCTGTTTGGAAACAAAATATAACTTCACCTGTAAGATTTGCATAACAACAGACATCTTGCATCTACCTTTCCTATGCAGTTATGGCTGCTGCTACTCCTAAAATTGTAGTGTATGGTTTAAAAATGACTCAACATATAAAACACTGTCAAAATCGAGTCCAGTGTGTAAATTTTGCGAGAGAGAGAAAAAGACTGAAGAAACTAGGTACGACATCTAATTTTAACAGGCATTTTTCATATGTCCATACGGACAAGTTAGGCTGAGAGCCAATTTTATATTACTGTCGTTAATTCTTTGACTCTTTTTAGAAGACAAGCATATTTATTATTATTAAAGCTAAAGTAATAAACATAATTGAGAGTTCCTTTGGATCCCTCCCCCAGTGGCACAGCGGTATGTCTGCGGACTTACAACGCTAGAATAGCCCATTTTGTAGTATTGTGTTTAATTACAAACAAACAAACAAACGAGTTCCTTTGCTAACCCTATACACGTCCTGCGTTACCCAGATAGAACTTTTTAAATTAGTCATTCTCCAGGAACAGTCGAAATACAGAGTGATATTTATTGAAACTTTCTTCTGTATGAAGTTTATTCCATACTCAAATGACCCAAAACAATTAAGGTGCAAATAGTTTCCAGGATCACAAAACAGGTGTAAAACATTATTATTATCAGTGATAGTATGTTAAATATGAAATCCGTGCTAGTTACTGCAATTTATTGCTCTGATTTAGGAAGATATCTATAGTTTGCAGATTTTTGGAATAGCTGTTTTATTTATGATGGTGTGTTTAGGAAATAAGTGATAACTCTTTCTTTCTTATAACGTCTTTCATTAAAGACCTCTTTTTGTTTTTTAATCAAACTGTTACGGTTATTATTCTGTTTTACAATTTGTGATTATGTTGCATATAATCAACAATTTAACACTACTATCAACCTGCTTGTATTTTCACGAGACCTCAACACTCTAGATTAGAAAGTGACATATTGTATCAACTTGTTTTTTTCAAATGTAACAAGGCCATCCTAAGCTAAACACAGGAACATTTCAGTTGTTAGCACACAAGCTTTAAAAAGACATTTTTTCATGCTTATAATATACTTTTATTACTTTTTGTATTTTGGTTAAGTATTTCAGCCCTTTTATTTTTAAACGTAACTGCATTTGTATGATTTCTTTTACATAAAGTATTTTACGTTTGTTAAAACCCTGTGTGGATAAACATGAATATAGGGTAATTTAAATAGATAAGTAACAAAGCAATAATCTTCTATTATAAAAATAACATCGAAAAATAAATAATAAAGGTGCCTTGGACTTAAAATACAATGACTCATAACTCAGATTTGGACTTGAAATACATCGATTCTAATTATTCTTTTTGACTCAGACTTGGACGCGATTATGAGTCTGCTTCTCTAGTTACTTTTCAAAGCTCTGTTTTCATAACGATGGCATTGTCATCTAAGAGCCATCAAACTGAACTCGTTTTTGATTTTAGGCATTACGAAATAAATAATCACTGGCGAAATTCATTTGAACTAAGACTTTTAAGCTGAAATTCTAGTTGGCCAGGGTTATTAATCGTGTTTCCACTACTGTGACTTAATACACACTCAATATATATATATTTGTTTATCAGGTATATTGGTGAGAATTTAATGGGTACATGGTGACCTGCTCTGCCTCGTAATGAACACCCAGATAAATACGTTCAGTTCTTTCTTCCTCGTTGGCTGAATAATTATGACCAAACAGCATTATCAACAGCCTCTGAATCATCATTCTCAGCCTCAGGTTCGTGGGCAAGCCACTGTATGAAAGGTATACCTATGGCATACTGATACAACTCATCAATGTATTCCATGTGCTTTTGTACACCTCTTATCTGCTGTAGCTCATACATCAATGAGCCAATCTGTCAGAGTATGAGGTATGGACTGGTTCAGCTGGATCCAAGCTGCTTCTGCGCTTCTGGCATTTACCATTTCTTCTGTGTTTCTGGCATATATCACAACTAGACCCAACCACCCCATTGGTATATTTATTCCCTTACTGTCTTGTCATAACACTTCTCCCATCTTCAAGCAGCTTTTCTCAGCTGTTGTTGGGCAAACTCCTGCACATTGACTACTGTATACTTTAACTATCATGTATTTCCGAAGACATTGTAGGATGTCTTCTCATAGGAAAGTCCATAAATAACATCAATAGGAAGTAATGTTTCTCTTCCAAATCTGAACATGTTTAATGAGTATCATTTAGATCTCTGCTCAATTATTCTGGATGCCATCATCATGTTTCCCAAGTATTCATCCCTACTGGTTTAGCCATGATTAACAAACATATTAAACATCTGCTTGGTAATCTGTTTTATCTATTCTGACAAACTATCAGACTGCGGGTTATAAGGTGAGTATACATGTTCACCCCACCTAACACCTTACGCAATTCAGAGAACAGTTGACTGCTGAATTCGACTCTCTCATCCATATGGATCTCTTGTGGTACACCAAACCATGTTATACAGTACTCCACCAATAGACTGTGTCAATGTATCGACCAATAGATAAAATTCAGCCCACTCCGTGAAGGAGTTGAGAGCGACGACTATGTACTGAAAATCTCTCCCAGTCTCTGAGAGTGGACCAAGCTAATCCTATTCAGAGGAGATTCAACAATTCTCTTTTAGAGTTTATCCTTTCTCAGCCAGTTTTTCCTCTAGTTGGCATACACTATACAGTATTCATACCGTCACTAAATATCTCAACTCAAATGCGGCCAGAAGAAGTGTCATTAAATGTAAGTACAAATGTGGGTAATACCTTGATGCCCTCCAGTCTTTATGTCATATAAATTCTGGAGAATCCCTTACCTTAGAGTTCTGGGGACCTCTAGCTGCAGGATAATAGGTATACCATGGCTTTGTGGTTTATATTGATGATACAGCACATCTTTCTGCACTTGTAATTGACCACACAAGTAGCATAGACTATATGTGGCTAGGTTTTACCTTGCTGCATAGCAAAGGATGGCTTCGCTATATCAGGGTCCTTCGATTGCTTTTCCCAGAGTTCCTAATGTGTTAATCATGGCTTGACTTTGCAACGGCAGAAATGTGCATGGTCTCAACACCTACATGGTGTTTTAGGATCAGGTCATTACATTAATGGACAAGGTCTCACTGTGCAACAATATAGACCATCTACACTTCTGGCTGGCAACAACCTGGGAGTGTTGTAGAGATCTTCCCAAATAGTCTCTGACTCATCAGGTGCCATTCAACCTTAGTAACTCTTAATTGTCTTTGCTTTCTTTTCACCAAGATTGATCCTCAGGGGTATGGTTTGATATACTGGTCTGGTGCACCAGACATCAGCCAGTAAGGCATCCTGAGTCTGTGTTTGTAGACTGATCAATGTAAGTAGCCTTTTCAGCATCGATAAAAATCCTATGTTTTCGAGAGGACTTCTCCTGGACCCAAAACCTCTTTCATACAACAGCCTCTCTCTCTGGTGGAAAACTTTTATTCTTGAGTGAGAGTACTTCTACATTGAGAATATTTCATTTTCCAGTCAGAAGCCTTACTTTCATCTTACTTAAACTTGAAAGATCAAGTAAGAGCCAATACGCACATTAGAAAAAATAGAAAACTCTACAATAAATCCTGTGGTTATGGCACTACATTTTTTCCTTCCTACCTACCATGTGATATCTTTAGGTGAAACTGATTTTCCCTTAGGTGTTAGATAGATCTGTTTTATAATGGAAGATTCATGCAGGATAATTACATATAAAATGTGGATTTAATTAAATGACTGAGTTTAATAAGCTCAGAGAATTAACAGACTGATCATGTGATGTAAGGCGTAAAACAATAATTATTATTATTATCTAAAAGCACAAACACTATGTGCATACATGCAAAGACACTAGACCTTCGCTTACTACCAAATCTGTAAATAAATCAAGATCTTTCTTCCCAAAAGATGTATATCTGTTGACCTGTTCACTGTGACCAAGTACACCTAATGTGAATCCAATGCTCTGTACAAAACAGGAAATGTCATAAATGACCAGTGTAACTATGTGACTGTTTTTTCTTATGTTACATAGTTAAGGCTGTAACCTCTGAGTATCATCTACTAAACTAATGAAGGAAACTGCTGTCGTTGACCTGTTTTGCACAATATGCAAAGTTGCAGAAATATTCCCGTCAGCAAAGTAGATATAATCTACTAGAGAACACCAAAGGAACAAATGTAGCTGGAACAAAAATAATTCAAAAGTTTTCTGGATCATTTGTTTATGTGAAAACTGCATAGAATCAGACTAGACGAAAAACTTTGAAAATTCCTATAATAACAAAAAAGGGTAGGAAACATATGGTATGCCAGAATACTAAATATTTAACGAGAAATATGCATTTTTACTTGGTAAATAAAGAGGTGATTTGATACAAAGGACAGTTATGAATTAGTTAGTTTTAAGTTGCTTCAAAAAAAAACAGTTAAAAATACACAAACATCTAAACTAAATTGTACTATCATCTCTTAGTAATTTAAATCTAAAGAAGACAGTATTTTATTTATTATTCCTGAAACATTTTACGATTATAAGAAGAGACAAAGCTTACATCTCAAATTATTACATACAAAGAAAGATCAAAGCTTATACTTACAAATAAGCACCATAACTGTAGTAGTGCTTAAACTCAACAGTGTTAGCCCAAAACCTCTTGATAACGTTCCCATAATTCCAAGTAAAGCGTCAGGGATTTGAAACCAGCGGTAGGTGAGTGGAAGGCCAATCAGCAAAAATGCTCCACATAGTCCAAAGTTCAATCCTGAGAAGTAACTGTAACTTCTCTGGTCCCATAAAAGAGGATCATCAGTCACATAGATGTACAACAGATCCAACTGAGCTAAATAAACAAATAAATGGTAAAATATACCCCAAACTGAAAAGCAAATCGTAAAGGGTCATAAAAGCTATTTCCATAAAGCTGTAAAATGATAACACATTATACCTAATACTATCGACTATTAATTATATATGTTGTCAGTAAACTGATCATTTCAGGATTAGCCAGGTCATTTGCACAGTCTTGGGCAAAAGGTTTGTAAACTTTGTAACAAATAAGGTGGAATACAAATACACTTAGTGTTGTCAAACTGAGAAATGCATGTTATTAAACATCTACATATGTCATTTGTATAATGAGACAGGTTCTATGGACATCATGAACGAGTTATTAGAACAGCAAACAATTTTATGAGACACCTGTAGAAAGATGTGTAATTCGCCATTTCACCTATCATAACAAAACCTTACAAAAACATATATAATAATAAAATATAACATCAAATTATTATAATTAGCGTCTGTAACCTTATATCAGCTCATATTAAATATTCAGTACTTCGTTGGTCCTCCTCATAGTCTAATAACCTCTGCAAGGCAACGTGGCATGCTGTTTATGAGGTTATTGATGTAACCCACTGTAATTTCATTCCAGTCTGTCACTAGAAGGCGCTGAAACTCAGCTACAGTAGCTGGTTTAGAGTCGTGGTTAGCAATTTTTGGCTTAGTTCTGCCCAACAGTTCACAATGGGATTACAATCTGGAGATATTGCTGATCATGACAATCTTGTAATGTCCTCCATGTCGAAGTTTCAGTGGCATTGTTATCCTGGAACATAAAATTATTGCCAAACCTTGCCCTATTATATTGCAGAAATATCGTCTGCATGTATGACTGTAGGAGGCTCCATTGACGTTTCCCTGAAGGAAAGATACGAAGAGCAGTTTTCTCACCATGATGAATAGCTATCAAAACACCACCTCCCATATGTGCCCTGTGGAAAGACAGTCTTCCCTAATCTGTTCTCCAGGCAAACTACGAACACGAATCCTACCATTAGTTTTACCAAGCCGAAAACAAAATACTGTGGTGGTGACTGTAAAACCACCAATACTGGCAAAACAAAACACCAATCAAAAATATGTGCCTATGAACATGTAGGCATTCAAGCAAAGCCGGTCAACCACTTCTAACTTTATAAATTTTCCCAACTCACGCATAGTGTCAAATTAGTAAACACACTTTATCTACTGATAACTTCAAAATTCTAACATCAGGATAATCAAAATATGAGCTTCTGGTCAAAGAAAGTCTATGTATCTCAAATGAACATCTAAGCCTAAATAATAACCTCAGTTCTTTTCAGGTTTGGTTTTTGCGCATAGCTACAAGAGGGACGATATATCATTCCAGAATAGTAATAAAAAAGAAATAACAGGTACACCTTAACTTACTACATCGGTGTTCAAATTTGATAGATGCTATATGTATTCAATGAGTGGTCACAAGTAAATAGACACCTAATGTTTCGTCATTCAACTGATTTATGCTAATAATTTATGTTCACAGAGCACTAGATAAATGAAAATGGTCCGCACACTAATTTTCTTGTGCTACAACATGCCTAGAATTCAAGGTTCTCTCGAATTGTCAGATTTTGTTAGAGGAAGGATAGTTGTTCAAGCAGATGGTGGAAT